CATTATTTGGGTTTGACATGGCCAGGGCCCGGGCTTTGAAGTCGGGAGCAGGACACCGTTAGAGCCATTTGTGTCTGGCCAGCGGCTCCCACGCGGCATCACCATCCCCTGCCAGCGGCTCCCAGCGGGATGGGAATGGGGATGCAGGAGCAAAGCCCCAAAACCAGATGGATGCCACCAGGCCGGCTCTGCTTGGCCCGGGTGTGTTGCAAGCCGGGCCCCTTTGGGTGAAGAATGAGGAAGCCGCTTAATTGGAGTTTTATCAGCAGAAGTTCACAGCTCCCATCATGGCATCAAACGGCCCTTGGGCTTTCAACTCCCCTCCACCAAACAAGTTGTGGGAAGGAGCATGAGGAGCACATGAAAGTGGCCACATTCAAATGGCATCAGCAAAGAGCTGGCAGGCTGACAAAGCCCCCCCTGGCACAGCCCCCAGCCCAAGGAACCAGGGAGGGAATTATCAAATCCCAAGGAATGCAGGAAGGAGCGCGAGCGGCTCTGCACCCATGCACTGGCATGGGCTGAAGGCTTCCCAAACCAACGGAAGTTGGAGGAGCACAGCCAGAAAAGCAAGTATGGCAACGTGTCCCAAAAAAGCTCCCGACAAGGAAGGATGATCCTGGCAGCTGGCAGGGTATAGGTGACCCCCTTCCTCATGCTGAGCTGCAGGAAAACGCTGACGGAGCGTGGCGCGGGGACGAAGCCACATCGCAGCAGCAGCGATGGTTTACAACAAATAACTCTTGCCAGGTTAAGACTAATTGCATCTAAAAACAGAAATGCAAGACAAGGGCTTTAACACAACACTCAGGGTAATAGATCCGCTCTCACTGCATCCCGCTGCCAAAAAGCATTGGATTGGATTACGGACATTATTACACCAAAAATGGATTGAAGGGCTTAAGGACTCACAATAAACAGCAAATGTGTCGGATTTATGAGGAAGCATCTACTAGGACCTTGTTTTTCCTTCAGCGTTGTCATCAAACAAGGGCTCTGTGCTTTAAAGAGGCTCATGGGACAGGTTGGACACTGAGGAAGAACACCTGGAAGAACACCTCAGCACCACCACCAGCACATCTGCAAACAGCTGCCTGGAGTGCACCCCGAGGTTGAGCGAGGTTTGCCTGGGCTCTCTACACCCCACTGAACACAGAAGGGGCTGCCAGGACCACCACCAGCTCCAAAAACCAGAGAGGAGCTGGGAACTATGGGAGTCCATCCAGTTCCAACCCTGCCATGAACAGGGACACCTTCCACTACACCAGGTTGCTCCAAGCCTCATCCAACCTGGCCTTGAACACTTCCAGGGATGAGACATTCTAGGGATGGCCTAGGTGACATTTAACAGTTCCTTCTAACCCACACTATTCTTTGATTGTCTGATCCAGAGCTCTGGGATAGCAGGGAGCCACTCCAGGAGCTCCTCCTCACGTCACCCTGCTGCCAGGACATGGGGATTAATGGATCTCTATCCAGGCACCTCATTACCAGAGATAGTAAAACTGGAGCAAGTTCAAAGAGGAGCAGCAAACGCAATTAGGAGCTGGAGTGAATTAGGAGGGGAGGTGCAGGGAGCTGAACCTGCAGGGCTGGATAAGCCATGGTGGGGCTGGAGCTGCCCACGACATCCCAGGAGTGCAGGCACCAGGCAGGGGGGAGGTTATTCCGGTGGGAAGTATTTTGAAGGGAGGGGACAGGACACTGGGGACAGGGAATCACACCAAGACACCAAAGGCAAGCAGGGAAACACCCACAGCGCATCATGATATAAAACACACAATTCCCAAATTCCCATCTCCTTCACCCTCTCAGCACTTCATCCTGGGGATGGTGCCCATGTCCTGCTGGAGTCCCTCATGCCCCCCCAGCCTCTGTCTCCAGTGTAGACCTGCAGGCAGATGCTGCTGCATCTTGTTCATTATGGAAAGCTTTAGAAATAAGCATCACCTTTCCTTATCCATCCCCAGGAGCAAAGATGCTTTTAAGGAAAGCCTGGAGCTGGTGTGGAGGGGGTCAGTGTGAGGCTCCAGAGAGGACGGGGACAGGGAACAGCAGCTTTCAAAAGCCTTTTCATTGCTAAGCCGAGGGCTGGGGCCGTGTCCCTCCATGATAAAAGTGTCCCTAAACAAGGCTTGGCATATCCAAAGCAATGGCAAGGAGCAGTCCTGAATAGAGGGACCCTGGGAAGCCCCCCAGCTCCGGTGAGGAGGTTTTCCAGCCGCTGGGGAAGGTGGGGGATGAGTGGCACACGCCCTGCTCCCCTCGGCTCCAGCGCTGCTTCCCCGGCTTAGAAATGAAAAGGGAGAAAAAAACCCTTTTGTGTGTCCAGGCAAAGCTTGGGGAAAGGGAGGGGAGAAAAATTGGGGGGGAAAAAAAAAAGACAACATGTGGGTGGTCTGCTCAGGAGACTTTTGACTTTGTTTTTTTGGCTATTTTATTTCTTGGCAGAAAGAACTCCTGGGGTTGCTCAGCAGAGGGTATGGCCAGATCACAGGAGCATCCTCAGCCCACCCAGGGGCCAAAGTTCAGCTGGCAGCTCCCAGCTCTGAGGGGTTTCGCATCAAAGCTTGGAGGAGTCAAGAGAAATTAAAGTCAGAAACGGTCCAAGGCAGGGGCAGAGGGCACTGCCGGCCCCCTGAGGAGAGGGGGGGCATCCCACAGGGATGCTCCAAGCACCCCGCTCGCTGCATCCCTATACAGCCTGAAACCAGGAACAAGAGGATAAATAGGATTTTATATTAAAAAATGAATTTAAAAGGCTCGGCCCAACATCCAACGGGACTCACAGCCGGGATTTCCCAACCTGGGCTATGCCGTCTTTGCAAAATCCCGGCTGCGTGTCCCGTCGGATCCGCAGCGAGCCGGAGCCGGTCACCAGCAGTGACCCAGGTGTGCTGGCAGCCGTGCAGGGGAGCTGGCATCGGCTCAAAGCTGCAGGGGCCCCGCGGGAGCCGCGTTTGGAGTCGGCAATGCACCGGCAGCCGCTTGTGAAAGCACCTCCCAAAGCTCCGGGAGGTTGATTTTCACTTCAGTTTTCGTGTGAAATGCAAAACAGCTCCTTAAAATTTGGGTAATTCAGAGGCTGTAAATCTGTCTGCCTCCACCTTCCTGATGGACTTGGTTACCATAAGAGGGATCCCAGATTTCTTCTTCTCGGTGCTTTGTTCACCTCCTGAGCTCGTTTTGGGGAGCCTATTTGTCTCTGAGGGCTCTTTGCAGCATCAGAGTCCCAAGGGCTGTAGGTCAGAGGACCCCAATTTCAGTCCTCATTAGCTTGATGACCATGTCAGTGCTTGAACTTGACCCCCAAACACAGAGGAGCCACCAACCAAGTGCTTCAAGATGCTTGGCTGACCCAAGTCTGGCACTTTGGCTTCTCTTCCAAATTTTTGCCCACTGCAGGCAAAGCTTATATTCAATCAAGCTTTTCATCAGCTGAAGGATAGCAGAAGGGCTGAACTTTGCCATCCCAGAGCCACCAGGCTGATGCAGCTGTGCTAAGGGAGATGGGAGCCTACATGGGAGTTGTGCCACAGGTTTTGGCATCCCCAGCCCATCTGGGGCATCTGGACTGGAACCAGGGTGTCCTGCCCACAATGGCTTCGAAGCTGGTGCCTGTCAAGTGACACAGAACAGACATCCCCATGTCTGGACAGTGACAGTGACCATTGTTCTGGAAGAGCCTGGCCCTGCCACAGTGACTCAGCCCTGCAGAGCCCACGGTCGCTGCCAGCACCGAGCCAAGCTGGCTCTGCAGGTTGTAGTGCCAGGTCGTCCCTGCTGTCATCCCTCCTGCTAGGGAAACTTCCCTGGCTGACCATGCAGAAGCCACTTTGGCATCTCCACGGCCACACAGGTAACAGAGCCCCCTGTGAGCCCCTGTCACCACCGGGCAAAATTTGCTATGACAGAAGTGATGAGGGCTCAAGGCTGACCTGCCAGAGCCAGGCCCGGCTGCTTCCTCTGCATCAGGTTTATCCCAAATTACTCTGCAGCAAGATTCCAACAGCCCCAGCCAGGCTCGCTGCGGAGATCCAGACCAGCAGCCTCACCACAGCACCATGCTACAGCACAGCCCCCCCGTCTCCACTGCCTGCCATGGCCTTGCTGCCCCCTCCCAAAGATTCCAGGCTAAAAATACCCTGTTTCCAGCCAGGAACACACAGCTCCCACGGCTGGGAGCTCGCCCCCACACAGGCAGTGACCCCTGTGCCAGCCGCTCGCCGCAGAGCCCACGGCACGCAGCAAGGGGAGCTGAGCCGTGGCCACCGTGCCCTTTGCAGTGCACCCAGCCAGGCGGGGACAGCCAGGCTGAGGAGGAGGGGAGGGGACAAAGAGAGAGCTGGCAGCACTGCCCAGACACGGCTGAGCTCCCTCTCCATCCACACCAGAGCAGGCACAGGGGGATAGATTTCTGTGCAGCAATCCCCTGCATGCACAGACCACAGGCTCCAAGAAAATTCCAGCCTCTTCTCTCTCCCCTCCCTAAAATGCCATGGTGCACCAAGACACAAACAGAACAAGCCAGCGTACAGAATTTTTCAGCCATTTTGATCATATCACACACTGGACACCACCAGCACTTCCTTGTGCTGGGGCTGCTACTCTTGGAGGCAATACCCAGGAATAAGGACAAGCATCACCATTCCTCTTTCTCCCCAGCCCCAAAGCAAAACCCCACAACACTTCCAGCAAAGATGGCAGCAAAAAATAGGCTCCAGGCATGACAGCACTCCAGGGCCAACCCCAGATGGGGATGTGCTCCTGCTCCCAGCCGTGAGCAGGGCAGAGGACACAGCAGAGCAGCCAGATAGGGACTGGTGACCCACTCGGCCAGTGACACATTCCTCCCCCTGCTCCCATCCAGCGGGACATATTTTCCATCCATGTCAGCTCTCTGCACCGGCCAAGTCACACACAAGCGCCTGGTGACACTCTCCAGGCGCCCGAGCCCTCCCGAGCCAGGACTGGCAGCGAGAAAGAGGAGGGCGACTCACATGTGATGAAGTAATCCTGGTGCCGCTTGAATTCCAGGCCCATGTAGTTGGGGCTGAACTCCTGGAACTTGATGGTGAAGCGGATCTCCTGCTCGGGCCGGTTGCACGTCACCAGCACGTTGGGGTCCATGACGGTGCTGCAGGCATCCGCCTGCTCCTTCCTCACCAGGTACAGCTTGTAGTACTCGTAAGGCTTGGACGGCTCCGCCTTGGGGCAGATAATGTCCAGTTTATCCCCAATCTCTGGGTAGATGACCAGCCCCTTCCCAGTCATGAACCTGGAAGAGAGGAGGGTAAGAGGTTACCATGTGCTGGAGCAGAGGCCACATCAGCCCAGCCCATCCCAATCTGACACCATTTTTGTGCTTCAGCTCTGCTGCTCCCCCTCTGTAAGACAGGTTTTGACACCAAAAACAAGTTCTCCTCTTCCCTCACCAACTCAGCCTGTTCATGGAGCCAGCACAGGCTCCTGCTGACAAAATCAGGGCTGGCTTGGGTCAGTCCCGCTCGCCAGCCATGATAAGGGTGGGCACCTTTCCCAGCCCCAAGCCTGGCATCCAACTGGGAATGAGTCTTCCCACAAAGGGCTGGGAGACGCCGCGGCTCTGCCCGACGGCCAGGCAAGGAGCTTCCTGCAGGGACAGGCAATAATTAGGCATGGGGAGAAGTCCTGACAATGGGGTGAAGGGAGGGATCCCGTCCACGCCCCAGCTCCCTGAGGAATTCCTGTCCTTAAATGGAAGGGAAGGAAGCATCCTGCAGGACAACTTCTACTGAGCCAGGCTCAACAGCGTGCCCAGGAGCGTGGGAGGACCGGATGGAGAGGAGCAAGGAGGGAGGAAAGCTATTCGGGGCTGGAAGGCAGGGCATTGAGAAGGGTAGGAAGGCAAGATGCTGATAATTAACATTCGGATCTCGTTATGGTGGGGCAAGGCACTGATTAGGTTTTTTTCAGCGTGAAGGAAAGGATTAGGGCAGCAAGGAGGGAAGCAGCAGATCATCTACTTTGATGTAGGCAACTAAATGCGTTCCTGATGGGAGATAAGGTGGGAATGGATTTTCCTGCAGAGTTATCTGTGCTGCAACTCCCTCACGTAATCTGGGCACGGCAAACGCAAAGCGAGCACTTTGCCAAGGCTGCGTGGCCACGCTTCCCCTTCTGCTGTCGGACACAGCCCATCCCTGTGCCAGCCCACCCTGGAGACTGGATGGGGCCAGGATACCTTCTCCCCCAGCCAGCTGCTCCGGCTGGAGCTGCAGGCTCCGTGGAAGGAAGATCAAACACACAAGACCAACCTGCTCTGTGGCTCCATGCAAGTCTTAGCAAGAAGCCACAGAGCTGGAACCAGCACCAGGCCTTTGGCTGCAGGAGCCTAGCAGATCCACAGGCTGGGCTGGAGCAGGCAGGCGGAGCTGAAGCCCACGCACCCCCAAGTGCCCTTGGCACAAGCTCTGGAGCTCAGTGCCAGCTGTAGTAGCAGGGCAGACATGCAGACATCATCCGCACCTCACTTGCAGCTTGCCAGGTCAGAGGAGCATCTCAGGCACCCAGAGCATGGCACAGGGATGGCAGGCACAGCCTCATGACAAAGCTGGATTTAGAGGGGTCACAGGTCCATCCACCCTGCCTGGCTGCAGCTCCACATCAGCTACAGTAGTACCCAAAGCAGCACAACGGGGCAGCTGGGATCATCCCAACCCCAGCACCAGTGGCACAGCAGCACCTTGGCCATGTGAGGTTGCAGGGAATTTTGTACAAGCCATGATTCATGCAGATGGTGACCAGGAGACAGTGGGAAACTTGGCCCCTGGAGGGTCTTTAGGAATGCAGGTGGGATGCAGAGCCCGCCTCCGTCCAGGCACTGCCGTCAGGTGAGCCATGCTTTGCTTCACACTACCAAGTAGGTCACCTGGCCAGTGGCCAGCAGGCACTTCCAAAGGCTTGGGAGCGATAAAGGCTTCCCCACCCACGGCCAGAGCCCTGATGCAAGGCTGGAGCAGGAGCAGGAGGCAGGAGCAGCCCCTGTCCCTCCCTCCCCGCCTGGCCGCAGACACGCAGCGCAAGTGAACACTTGCACGGGTTCCCACCCCGAGAGGCAGCTGGATCCCACACTCCTTTCTCCACGGTTGGGCTGAGTCAGAGGCTTCCTGGCACAGGATTCTGGAGTGACTCAAGCTCCCTCCTCAGCTCCTGCCAGCTCCCTCCTGCCCAGAAGATGCCAAACAGGAAGCCACAAACAAGTCAAGCAGATGTCTTGCACCGCCGGAGCAGGAGAAGAAGGCTCCTATCCACCCTCATCTCCATACCAGGAGGACCTATCACACCTCTGTGGCCAAAACCTTGGCCAACACCTGCAAACCAACCGGTCCCTGGGCCACCAGCCTGTTGGGATCAGGCCAAATGGATTTGTAAGCAGGGGAGGGGCCACAAAGCAGCTGAGGGAGCTGAGAACCTCCCAGTACCACATCCTGCTGGCACCTCTTCATCTCAGGAACTTCAGGACCAAGGCCTACCTTAGGTTTATGTAAGGATAAAACAAGGAGGCAAATCCTTTCCACAAACACTCAGTCTCAGCTCCAGAAGCACACGGCTGCTTTCTGGGAATTAGCTCAACATCTTCCAGATCCACACAAACATGGAGCAAGACAGAGCCACTTCTTTGTGCATGGAGCTTTTGCGCTGCTCCCTCCAACTGCTGTTCCCCACCTGCACACAGACTGTTTTCCCTATGTCCTCCAATTTTCCTGACTTCTTTCTTCTTCATTTCTCCTCTTCTCTAACAGCAGGGCCGTTTCCAGATGACAGCCTGGGCAGCACAGGAGAGCATATAAACCTGAGGCATGTATCTCGAACCCCTCAAGCAGCTCTTCCAGCTTTTCACCACACACAGAGATCTTTATTTCTCCCAAAAATTCTGCTTTGTCACAAGAACAGCTTGTGATGATCGTCCTAGGGAAGACCAACAATAGCTCCCACAATGCCAGAGGCTGGCTCTCTGGGAAATTCTCCTTTAAAATACATGGTGAAAAGCAACATTTATCACAAGAAAAGGAGAGGAAAAAAACGTCCAAAAATTGTCACATGCTGCCTGAACACAGGATTTCAGCCAGTACTGGAGACGAGGTATTTTAGTTCCAAGGGATGGTTGAAGACAAAAAGGAATTACACTCTTGACTTGTCTTCACAAGGACATGTCTTCAGATTTATCTTAACCCAGAGGAGTGAACAGAGCAACTCTTAAATTAATAGGGAAATTCATCGTGCCCTCAGAGCACCCACTGTAATTTCAGGGAGGGAAGAGGGAATCTGCTGTTCCTCTGGAAAACACAGCTTGATTTCCCTGTTTTAAGGTGGGAAGGGAAAAAAAAAAGAGGAAAACTAAAACTTAGCTCAACCTTAAGGCTGAAACAACTCTCAGCATTAAGAATCACCCTCTCCTCTACCTTGCCCAACACGCAGGAGGAGGAAGATAATGGCTCCAGCTTTATTCCTGCCCCATCCCCAAAGCGTCCAAGGCCAAGTTGGATAGGACTTGGAGCAACCTGGCATAGTGGAAGGTGTCCCTATCCATGGCAGAGGGTGGAACTGGATGAGCTTTAAGGTCCCTTCCAACCCAAACCATTCTGGGATCCTGGGATTGGCACCATCACCAGCTCACAGGTAACATCCCAGCATCATTTCTCCTGGTGTCCAGGAGGATGGGAATGATTAACCACAGCCACTAAAGCTTAAAACAAGTATTTTTTTGCCAGCTGAGCAGGTGGAGAGGGCTGGCAGCTTCATCCCTTAAAGCCCCTGAGGTGATTTTTGGGTGGCATCCGTGGCTGCCCACCTGCAGAGCCAGGGGACCATCCCGGCCATCCCAGGCAGGCGTCCCCATCCCCAGCGCCACTGCAGGCCCCCAGCTCCCGGCCCCGCAGGTTCCTTGGGAGCGATCAGGTGGCAGCGTCCAATTTCCTCATTGTTTCGGGAGGTGTTTTCTGATGGGAAAGGTGAAAAGGGGATTTGTGAGCCTTGTAAACCGATTCCTCTGAGTTGGGTAAACAACGGGAGCTCTGTTGGCAGCAGGATGCCGGGATGCCGGAGCAGGGAGATGGGATTAAAGTGCAGCCTCTCCCCTGCCCTGAGTTGGGGGGCTGCTGGTGGGGCCCCCAATCCCTTGCAGAGCCCCCCTCACTTCCCCTTGGGGGTCCAAAATATAGGATCTGATGGAGCGACCAGGGGCTAGAGGTGGGACCTGCTGGAAGAGCAAGGCAGGCATCCCAGAGAGGGTTTGCTGGGACAGGAGGAAGAACAAGCTAAGGAGGAAAACCAAGCAAGTCGGCCAGAGCAAGATCAGGAGTTATACTGGGAATGATACCCCACTCCTCCACACCCCCTCCCATGCAGGCACCTCTCCTCCATGTAGGCACACATGGATAGACATGGATGAGCCAACACATTCCCAGCAATCCCACAGACACAAGTGTCCTGCAGATAAGTCATCTGGAACCTTAAAATCCAACAGTCCCACACCTCTTTGTTAGGGAAGACCAAAAAATGGCTTAAAAATACAATTTTTTTAAATAATAGGTTGACATATTTTCCAACTGCTCTGCCTCTGGATCCAAGCACTCCTTGCACCACATCAACCACAAAATCTCTGGGGCAGCATCACCTTTCCCCACGTCCACAGCATACAATGCCCCTCACCTGATTTCAGGCTTGGCAGAAACAGAACAACATTTCCCAAGAACCTTCTCCTTGGAGAAGATGTCCTAACGCTGATGCTGACATACATATAAGATGACATATGCTAAATGCTGTTTGCTTCAAAGAAGTCCAAAAATAACTGCATCTTCCATGGAGGACGTGTACGTCTGGCAGGGAAGGCTGACAGTGCCCGGCAGAGCGAGACCTGCAGGAGCTGGGAGGTTTTCCTGGTGTCTGGGCAGCTGAAGCCCCCATGGGCCCAGCTCTCCACACCAACAGAGCATGTGAGTCCTTCCAGATGGATCATAGCTCCCACCCACCAGGAATCTCCTCAAGGAAGGGATGGGAAAGGGCCAGATCCAGTAAAGAATCCAAAGCTCCATGTTCAAACTGGGTGTGGGATCCTGAAAAACACTCCTGAACCCTGCGATTTGCTGGTGCCCAGCCACACACAGATCCAATCCTGCCCTCTCTGCCTCACTTGTCCAAACTTCCCTGAGCTCTTTTCCATACCCCGATGTCACAGAGCCACATCACACTCCTGCCATTGGAGGGTCCCTGTGCAGCTCGTCCACAGCTCCCTTG